ATTTAAGTAATTACGTTATCGTTATCAATATGATATCAATATATCTTAATATCGATTTGCCCTCCCCCCTCTTTTTTTAAACAAAACCTAATTTACAAATTTTGAGTTGTCTGGACGCAATAAATCACTAGCAAGTACTATTTTAGTAATTAAGTTTTGGAGAATTTGACTTTCTAAACATTACCTTGCCTATTGTATTGTAATTCCTCAACTGAATCAATAAACCCAATGAAGAGAAAACTCAAATCAATAAATGATTGCAGGCACGCGCTACTTTTGAATACGGGAAATAATGCTTCTTCTGAAGACACGAAACTAGTGTCCTTATCCAACTTGTCCTTGAATGGTTGCGTTGTTATGCTGGCGCGACGCTTCTGAACTCTTTAATGTCTTCCAGAATGATAGATTTTATGATCCAGTTCGTAATTATGTTTATCGACTTCCATTATTTATTCTAGCAACCCTTATGGAATAATTACAGCTAAGAAAGCTTGAAAAAAACCATTCGATTTATGAAAAAAAATGGTGTGTAATGTGATATATAAATAATGAAATTGATTTTGAGTGGAAGTAAAAAACATTGCATTAAGTGTTAGAAAAAGTTATTGCGATATTTTATGTACAAAACGATCTAAATGTTGAAATAGCACCTTTTTGTTGATGCCGGATGCTAGCCAATGTTTGTCTCTACAAGATAAAAAGGTGAGTTAAAGCGAATACATTCACTATATTTCGAATATTATTTTGTTAATCTTATTTTTCGTTAAATAGTCTTAACTTTGCAAAACTAATTTGCTTTCATCCATTAAATGTCTATATGAAATCTATAAAATTCGGTAAGTCTCGCGCATAGTTTTAGCGTTACCCTAAATGTTCCTCTCTAAAAATCGTAATAGACTCCGATATTTTATGAATTCAACTTAATGGGGTTCAACTTAATTCTTAAATGGTGTTCAACTTAATGTTGTTCTGTTCCGTAAAAGCTATTAAACTTAGAAACTTGAAATTATGAAGATGAGTAGATAAGTTTGAAAATTATTACTTGTTTATGTAACACTGTGCAACTTGATGGATGTAACACTGTGCGGATCTCTCTCTACAAGACATAGGTATACAAATACAGAGGTGAAATTTGACACGTTAAAAAGGCCATATAAAATACAAAAGAAAATTCAATTTTTCATTCAAGAATTATCAACGCTTAAATTTGAAGTAAAAAAACTATATTGACTGATCTACCCGATGAAAGTCAATTAGAGAGTTGAAATTAGGCTTCCTGAAAAGGCAATTTACAAATATAATTTTAATGCGAGTTTTTAGAAAGTTTGAATGGTTCTATAGTTATTTCAATTTTAAGTGCTTTTTTCGTGATATTTTTTCACTTTACTTTCTTTAAATAATAATTATTTATCCATTGTTGCCGACAAATTTATCTCTCTCGGAATCATCCTTTTATTAGCTCGCGCTTGACTTGTTGTCAAAAAGAATGGATAAATACAATAAAAGAGAGCGATAAGATTTTGCCAATTATAAATCACAACATTTATATCTAATTTTTTTAAAAATATAAATCGTTTGCAGTCGTAGGACAGAACTCGTTGGCAATCTGAACTGTTATACAATATAAAATTATTATTAGAGATTATTAACAGGTAAAATTACTTCTCATTTATTACTTTCTATTGCGAAACACATTTTATATTCCTAAGTTTAAGTATTTTTTTTCAAGTACAGTTGATTATTTTTTAAATCCAAGTAATCGTTCATAATGTTACGATTAATATATTAACAAAAATTCTTTTATAAAATTATTTAGTTATATATTTTATAAACAAAATGAACTTTTTTAAAAGTATCGAAAGTTTGAAATCAATTTTAAGGAAAAGGACGAAGTTAAATAACAGGTCATTACGAGCAGGAGGCGGAGCCGCCTAATTAATTTAAACTAATTCAGTATGTAACATAATACTATTAATAAATAATTTTAGTTTTATAAATTGCTCCTGAAATTAAAAAAAGCTATTTTCAAAAAATGATTTTCGTAGAATTAATCAATCTTCTTCAATTTTTTTTAAATTTTTGTCTTTCATATTTAAGTATGATTTGAAGTCTAAAAATGGTAATGGTAATTTGTTGCAAATTTTAAATCTAACTTAATATATTTCTGATCAAATATGAATTCAATGTTTTCCTGTATTTAGGGAATGAGTTTAAGTTAGATTAAAATATAACTGCACTCCTAAATTAAAATATACTTAAATAAACGAAACAGTGCTTGTGTGTATGTAATAATTACATTTGAGGGAGGGGGAGTTTTAAGCTAAAATTGATTCTTCTTTTCTTCTTTTGCCTTTATGATCTCTTTATAGAGCATATAAAATAATTGAAAAAAAATTTAAAAAAATCATAATAATTCGGATTGTAACAAACTAGGATTCTCAAAAGATTGAATTAAAATATTCAATTCCAGAATTCTTACTTTAGAAACAATATTTACTTTAGCAATGCTGAAATGAAATAATTCATGTCTGTATTATTTGACTTTAAATGGCAAAAGTATAATTATTCAAAATGCCATCTAAAAATCGATTAAAGTTTAAATTTAGTTTGTTATAGTCTCATAAGCCTGAGTTCCAATATTAAATTATGAAAAGAATTTATGTAGCAACCGTATTTATCAAAGCTAGGGAGAAACGAAACTGTATAAATTTATAATATAATTTAATTATTTTCTGAACGTCGTTTTTCGTAACAAGATTCTAACTATACTGGTATTGAAGTGTAGTTTGTCATGGTCTTATAAGCCAGAATTCAATTATTTAATTAGTAGAAGAATATGTATAGCAACCAAAGTAATGAGAAAATGTAAATGGATAATTTTTTTTAAATAATAATAGCATTTAATTGATTCCAAGCAATTATNGATTCTAACTATAATGGTATTGAAGTGTAGTTTGTTATGGTCTTACAAGCCAGAATTCAATCATTTAATTAGTAGAAGAATATGTATAGCAACCAAAGTAATGAGAAAATGTAAATGGATAATTTTTTTCAATAATAATAGCATTTAATTGGTTCCAAGCAATTATTATAGTATTTATGCTTAGTTTGTTATGGGCGTATAAGCCAAAATTCAAATATTTAATTAGGAAAAGAATTTACACAGCAACATTATTTATCAAAGCTATAAGAGAGAAATGTAAGAGATTACTTTATTATTATAGTAGCAATTAATTGTTTCCGAAGCATCATAATTATGCTAGGACTGAAGTGTAGTTTGTTATGGTCTTATAAGCCAGAATACAAACATTTAAATGAGAGAAGAATTTACATAGCAACTTTATTTATCAAAGCCATGAGAGAGAAATGTAAGAGATTACGATATTATAATAGTAGCAATTTATTGTTTCCGAAACATCATAATTATGCTAGAACTGAAGTGTAGTTTGTTATGGTCTTATAAGCCAGAATACAAACATTTAAATGAGAGAAGAATTTACATGGCAACTTTATTTATCAAAGCCATGAGGGAGAAATGTAAGAGATTACTATATTATAATAGTAGCAATTTATTGTTTCCGAAACATCATTATTATGCTAGAACTGAAGTGTAGTTTGTTATGATCTTATAAGCCAGAATACAAACATTTAAATGAGAGCAGAATTTACATAGCAACATTATTTATCAAAGCTATGAGAGAGAAATGTAAGAGATTACTTTATTATAATAGTAGCAATTAATTGTTTCCGAAGCATCATAATTATGCTAGAACTGAAGTGTAGTTTGTAATGGTCTTATAAGCCAGAATACAAACATTTAAATGAGAGAAGAATTTACATAGCAACTTTATTTATCAAAGCTATGAGAGAGAAATGTAAGAGATTACGTTATTATAATAGTAGCAATTTATTGTTTCCGAAACATCATAATTATGCTAGAACTGAAATGTAGTTTGTTATGGTCTTATAAGCCAGAATACAAACATTTAAATGAGAGAAGAATTTACATAGCAACATTATTTATCAAAGCTATGAGAGAGAAATGTAAGAGATTACGTTATTATAATAGTAGCAATTTATTGTTTCCGAAACATCATAATTATGCTAGAACTGAAGTGTAGTTTGTTATGGTCTTATAAGCCAGAATACAAACATTTAAATGAGAGAAGAATTTACATAGCAACATTATTTATCAAAGCTATGAGAGAGAAATGTAAGAGATTACGTTATTATAATAGTAGCAATTTATTGTTTCCGAAACATCATAATTATNGTTTCAAATGCTTCAACTTATAAAAATTGTATCCTTTAATTATTTTCTAAACGTCATTTTTCGTAACAAGAGCCTAACTATGCAAGTATTGAAATACAGTTTGTTATTGTTTTATAAGACAGAATTCAAATATTTAATTAGGAGAAGAATATATATAGCAACCGAAGTAATGAGAAAATGTTAATGGATAACTTTTTAATAATAGTAGCATTTAATTGTTTCCAAGTAATAATTATTATAGAATTTCTATGTAGTTTGCTATGGTCGTATAAGCCAAAATTCAAACATTTAATTAAGAAAAGAATTTACACAGCAACATTATTTATCAAAGCTATGAGAGAGAAATGTAAGAGATAACTTTATTATAATAGTAGCAATTTATTGTTTCCGAAACATCATAATTATGCTGGAACTGAAGTGTAGTTTGTTATGGTCTTATAAGCCAGAATACAAACATTTAAATGAGAGAAGAGCTTACATAGCAACATTATTTATCAAAGCTATGAGAGAGAAATGTAAGAGATTACTTTATTATAATAATAGCAATTTATTGTTTCCGAAACATCATAATTATGCTAGAACTGAAGTGTAGTTTGTTATGGTCTTATAAGCCAGACAAATATTTAAATGAGAGAAGAACTTACATAGCAACTTTATTTATCAAAGTTATGAGCCTTTATAATTTTTTATTGAGTATTATAGTTTAAATTATGTGCATTGATTTCAGCCACCTGAATCTCAATCTGATGATCTGAGGGAATCGCTCAAAAGTTATATTGAAGATATTTTATCCAAAGCCATGGTTGTTGCTGAAAAAGTAAGATATTTCTGAATATAAAGCTAAAAATGAATATTAAAACCGTGATATTTGATTAAAATAAATTTAAGTTTAAATAACTTCAAATGTTTTTAGAACAGTAATTTCTAACATAATATTTTTACAATTATTTTAAGTAAAATATAAAAGTTGTAATTATCACTTTTGGTTTATATTATGTTGTAAAGACCATGGTCAAACTTCATGCTTCTATACTTATATTTTAAGATCATCAAAACAATTTTATCATTGTTTATAAAAATGAATTAAAGTTTAAAAATAATTCAATTTTTTTAATAGTTCAATTTCTTTAAAATATTGCTCATTGGAAGAGTCAGGTTAATGCGATTTTCGTAAATAAAATAAATAATTGAGCTATGTAATAACTCAATAGTAATCTTATCCTGTTAAAACTATATAATAATTTTTTTTTATCTTGAAATTAAATTTAAATAAACTTGTTTAACTTATAATTGTGCATAGTTAACAATGCTTTTATGTAGCACAGATGCTTATTGCAGAACGCATAACTTGCATTTTAAGAATAATTTTTTTTTATATTTACGAAACAGTTTTGGTGCGTACTTAAGATTATCTAGACTGAAAAAATTTGGTCAGATTCTTTTCTGCAAATTTATATTAAATTTATTTCAATGTAAAGCTAACAAAATTGAAAGCTTTCAGTTTTTCACTAATTTCCAAATATTTAATTGGTGTAACAGTTATAATTTAATTATTATTGTATTATGTTTGTTTTTAATATCAATTACAACAATATTTTTAACCAATTTAGTTATTTAATTATTCATATTTTCAGCATTTTCCTTGACAATCATATTGAAATAATCGAAAAAATCAGTTTATAATGTTACATTATAATCAATATCCGAAAGAAATTTCGTGGTGCATGATAATGAAAAAAAAATATCACGCGGTTAAAATCATACATTAAAGAAATATAATTTCAAAATTCGAACAGGTATAGGTTTGTGAATATAAAACATTATTGAACTGATGAGTTTACAAAATCTGACTTAATATTGAATTTATTCAGATGATGTGCTTAAATCTTTGAATGCAATTTAGAATTTATTTCATAGCCTGAAAAATTATACAACAATAAGTTGAATATTTAATAAGTAATCTTTGTTCTTATTTTAGAATTTTTTAGAAGGATTTATTTTGTCTAGGTTAAGAGCACGTTCATTTTAAACTTTATTTACTTTTTTATTAATTCACCTTTGTGTACGTAAGGGTATAATCAATCTTGTAATCTAAATTTCAATAATTTTCTCTTTATCTAGAGCACTCAAATTTCTTCCTATTTGACAAGAGACAAGCCATTCTTTGCATTAAGCATACAAGCCCGTATATGAATCTAAACTTATTTAACCAATTTATTAGTATTCCTACAAATCCACAATTACAGTGGAATTCAAACCCGTTACCTGCATTCTGCATTGCGTTTGGTGGAAAGGCGAGATTTCTTGGCCAAGGAGTCCTTTGTAAAACGAGTGATTTAAAAAAAATCATGATTACTATTCCAAATATTTATTTATTTATTGATATACGTACATATTCAGGGTCGTGTGATTATTATAAAATCCTATTTATTATAGACTCTTGCCAATTTGAAGAACAGATAGCACAAGTTAGAGAAAGACATAACCATGAAGCATCTGTTATAGCATGGGGGTTGCATGTTCGAATCCCATCGTATCCATGAAAATATTCTTATAATGACTTTCCATATCCTGTGCTATCTGCATTTCGCATGACAAGGACTTAAAAACTAATATAATAATTATAAATTTGAGATGAGCACACAAGATAGGATATGTATGCTTAACAATAAATAAATAAATAGATACTTCCAAAGTCACGGTGGATTAAAACCAGCAACCTCAACGCTTTTATTTGAGGATGATGGAACAGGCCTGATGCGTAGCAGTTAAGGTACTGATTTAGTTTGTCTAGTCCGACGTTTGTAGATTTGCAAATACGCATTTGGTATAGTTATGTTAGCTTATAGCTTCTTGCATATAAATAAAAGCAACTATCCAACGAAAAATGAAGTTAACAAGTGATTACTGAATAAAATAGTGGCAATACTCAAATTATACTAATAATGTTAAAATTACCAACTTTTTAGGTTAGAATTTCAAAAAATTACCAGATTTACTACCAAACAGCATGGTAATAAAACCATATTTTATTATTAATTTTACCAAAAGTGTTACCAAGTTGTAGTTGATGTAGTTATTTATTTGCGTCGCAGCTAAAAACGGGTTCTTGACGATGGTCAGGGAAACATCCCTGAGAATGATCCGAAAAAGTGTTACCAATGAGCTTCAGTAAAATTCGTACTTTTTTACGAGAGAGAGATTTAACGTGTTTCTGGATCTATAGAATAAACCCAAAAACACGCTTAATTTACAATATTCTGACAGTTTCTAATGCTTCTTTTTCAATGTACAACTTTCAGACTAATTAGAACGCTAAAATCTCTTCTGGAGCTCTATGCTTGATGACAGTGCCAGTTTCAATCGATTCCTGACTACTAAAAAAAAAATTAATTACCTAATTATTGCTATAAGGAATTTATCGTTAATCAAACTTCTGAGAACTTTCTAACTAATTAGAGTTCTCAAATCCCTACTGAATCTCTCGGTTTGATGACAGTGTACTTTAAACAGCTTATTGGTCGCTACTTGGAAAGTTATCGTCATATTATTGACAAAGATAATTTATTGTATACCAAACATTTGACCCCTTTCAGACTATTTAAAGCAGTGGTTACCAACTGGTGACCCACCGGCCACATCCAGTCCGTGAAACCTTTTTTTGTGAACCGGATGCTATAAATTTCCATCACCATTGAAAATCCCCTGCCCCCCTATCTTTTGAAAGTAATGCACCCTAGTTTTAATTCTGACAAAAGTAAAATTAATTTCTCCTTTTAGGCCTTCTACTTAAAAAATGTAGCTTTAAACGTTCTAATTTATCTTACTATTTTAAATTTAGATATGTGTATAGTAATTTCAAACGCTTACATTTAGCATCATTTAATGTACAACTAACATTTTTTAAAAATCAAACATAAGATGTTATGTACATAAAACTATTCACGCTTACCTACTTAGTTTGAAAATCTTGTTTTTCTCCAAGTTCTTCAAAATCGCTTAAACTAACATTACTCAAACTTTGTAACATTTCCCTCAAATAATATTAATAAAACAAAACGAAGTTAAGTGTGTCTGCAATACTGATTATATTTCCCCTTCCTTTTTCAACCTGCGAAGAAAATTGAATTAGTCGACTTTGGCGGAGATAATGAGACTGAAAATGAAAGGGAAAAAGATTCTACGGCTCCCCAACAGTCGCCGATGATGGAACCAGAAGAGAAGATTTCAGGAGAACCGGATGACGATGAAATTAGAGCAGCAGCCGAGAAAGTCGTAGAAGAGGTCCTCTCTAAAGCTCAAGATACTGTTATAGAACAAATGGAACAATTTGAGAAAGAAATTGCTGCGTTAGATTTCCCGGTAATGCATTTTAGTTACTCTTTCCTAATATCAAGTTGGATTTAATGTAAATTGTATTGGTTTGCTAGGAAATTATTTCTGAGATTTTAGTAAGTTAACTAACTGACTTTTGCAACTAAAATGTACATCTTAGCAGATATTGAGCCGTAAAAAGAAAATTCCACTTTATTTCATGCATTTCATTTCTTTATCTTATCAATTGTTAATTATTTAGAAAAAAATTAAGTTACGCCTTTTTTGTATTAAGTTATCATTTGTGATAACTTAATACAAAAATGATAAATGCTTTTATAAAATTGATAAGTGCTTACATTTGTTTCGTTTTGAATGTCACAACGAAATTCAAATATATAAAGTAATTAAAATTTTTATGCAAAAATATTGAATAAAATAATTACTTTACGTTAAAATGAATTGCTCAATTCTTTAGTACTAACTGCCTAAAATAGGTTAGTTTTCCCTATTAATGAGTTAAAAATCATTCAATAAGTAAAAACTTATTAGTGCATATGACTTCCGACAAGCTTATACTTTTAAAAAAAGAATGGTCTAAAATTTTTACTGAAAAAAAAAGTAAATTATTCTTGATGGGTATTCTTATCATAATAAATTTAATAGCGAAAAAAAACTATTTCTTAAAGAAAAAAATATTAAAATGTATACCGAAATTACTCTTTGTTTTGTATATAACATTCTGGAAAAATTTTCTCTCCATTTTTATTTAAAGAAAAAAACGTTATATTTTACCTTTGTTTTATACAATGATTATCATAATGAATGAAAATTTGGAAGTTGTGCTTTTCAAAAAGATTGCTTTTTCCACTTTGAACAAATATATTAATTTCATGAAATTGCGATCTTTTATTTAACAACGAAAATGATAAATTAATAAATTTAATGATTTAACTTTAATATAATTATGGCACATAATCAGATTTCTTTAGAAGTTAAAGGCGAATCGAAGCTTGTTGGCCCAAGTGTAAGTTGTTATAAAATTCATTTCTCTATAACGTATGAATAAATAAAATTATTTAGCATGTATGACTCATATTTAATATAGATGATATTATATCATTCTAAGATTGTATGACAACTGTTAGAAAATTTATACATTCTTAAAATAAAAATTTGTTATTCATTATTAATGTAATATTTGTTATTGATATATTTTTCGTATACCACCTTCCTTCTATTCCTTTGAAAGCATTTTTTCATAATATTTTACAAAAAGACATTTTTTGAAAAAAAATTCTTAATTTAATCATATTTTATTGTTTTCACTGTTTCTGTAATTTCATAATTTTTTGCATCATGCACTCAATCTATGTTCGTTTATATATCATGTAACATCTAATACATATTCAGTGTTTCATAAAGATTTTATGTAAATCTAATGACGATATGTAAATTAATAAAGTTAGTTCTCAATTATTATTAACTTTTCTAAACTTAACAGTAAGTAAGATTTAATTACGGCATTTGCCAATATGAAATACTCAAAATATATAGTTTTATCTGGTATGTTTCTTTCTTAGTTAACGAAATTTGATTAAAAATAAGACTTTTACTTGGTAACGTAATGTACTTAAATGATTGTTTTGTCAAATTAGTATTTAATTATTTTATACAAACATTTAAAGGACTTTTTACAAAAGTAATAACAATAAAGAGGCTTAATACTTATTCTATTTAGTGTTGGTAATATTTAATTTTTCTGTGTTATTTTTGTATATTTTGTTGTTTTATTAAAATACAAGACTATATGCTTACAGATTATCTTACCATTATGAATTCTCTTGAATTCGTGACTTTGTTTATTTTTATTATAAACTATTAAATTTCTTAAAAAATTTATCAGTAAACGCATTCTTTACAGTATAATTTTATTTTCACTTGTATGCTTTTTCGTTCAGTTTTATTAAATGTGAAAACATTTCATTTTGCATGAATTCCATAAAAGTTTTTGTATACGTGCTGCAGCTGTAGTTTGTTTTCACTCTAAAATCAACAACGTTTTTCACTTGTTTTGGAATATTTTTAACAGGAAAAAATTATATTAAAATATGCACAGTGCAGATTTCATATTTTTTATCATTGCAATCTATAATTTATTTCAACACATCACAACTTTCATCCAATTTTTAGTAAATAAAAAAACTATTGCATTTGTTATATTATACAATTTGCTTACATATTTTAAGATTTTGTTTCGTCAAAGTAACATCATCCTATTTTGTCAATCAGGGTTGAAAATTAATATAAATAATAATAATTACAATAAGAATTACAATAACAATATAATAGTTATAATAATAAATATGATAATATTAATACAAATACAATATCAATAATAAATATAGTAGTAATATTTTAAATAAAAATAATAATAAATATAATAGTAATAATTTAATCAATAATAGTAATATAGTTATGATAGTAATATAGTGTAACTATAATAGTAATAATTTTTGATTTGTTACATTGTATCAGTGACTAACATTTTTTAAGATCTTTTGTCNATAATAAATATAATAGTAATAATTTAATCAATATTACTAATATAGTTATGATAGTAATATAGTGTAACTATAATAGTAATAATTTTTGATTTGTTACATTGTATCAGTGACTAACATTTTTTAAGATTTTTTGTCCGCGAAAACAACTTCCCTATGTTTTGTAAATCAGAGTTAATAAAATAAGTATTAATCATACCTAATACAATAAGAATTACAATAATAGTGTAATAATTATAATAATAAACGAGATAATATTAATATAAATACAATAGCTCATAATAAATATAATAGTAATAATATAACTCATAATAGTATAAATAATAACAAATATAATAGTACCAATTTTAAAATAATAAGTATAATAATTACAACAGTAATAATTACAATCATAATAATTTAAATAATATTTTTAAAGATAATAAATATAATATTAATAATTTTAATAATAATAGCAATATTAAATAAAATCTATTAAAATTTTGACATCATATATTTTTTTAGATTATTATTTATAATATTGCACACAATATTTATTTGCAATTAACTTTTGATAATTCCCCTCACAACGGGACAAAAATGCCATACAAGCATTAAAAATTAAAGTAGTTTTAAATAATTGCAGTTAGATTTAATAAAATTATATTTAAAAGTTAAATAAAACATTCTTCGGTTTCTGAAATATAATTATGGAGTTAAAATAATATTTCGTTAAACATTTTTTATTTTATATTGAGTATAATATAATTCAAAATTAAAAGTGTTGAAATACGAAAATATTCAAATCTTTGTATTCGCTTCTTTTTGTTTGAACTGGATTTAAACATGCATGAGTTTATAATACGAAGTGTAGAGAAGCATGGATGTTATTTTAACAATATAGGGAATGAGTAGTTGCATGCCGATATATGTGTTCCAGAATGTATTGCTTGAAAATCGAATGTTCTTTTACTCTCAAAAGATAGCATTATTGAACAGCACAAACATGTTCGTCTTCTGATGCTTGATCATTTTCGTTTCTCGTTTCGTTGCATTTTATTTTGCTGAGATTAGTTTTGCATCCCTGATACTTTGTCTAGATTGGAACCTGTGTTGTTTTCTTGAAAATCGAACTTACGATGTGCTTTTAGGATCTACCTAGTATACAGATCGATACAGTGATTTCAGCACCTCCTAGCCCTGAAATAGAGGAAGAACCTCTCCGTAAACCAAAGAAATTCGTTTTCAAGATGAACGAAGATTCGGGACCACCAAATTCAGTGACAGAAGCCCGTGAAAAATTAACTTTGGTATAACTCATCCCCTTTGATTTCTTGATACAGAAGTTGAATCTATGCTTTTGTTTAAAGAAAAACACATCGGCAATTAAATCTTCCCATTAACTAGCAGTTCTGCAGTATTGATTATATATTTCTCCTGATTATATTTTCAAAGTGAAATACTTGTTCTTCTTAATTACCAAGCCTGTCACCATTGAAAAAAATATATTTTTCATATATTTCATATGAAACATATATTTGTCATCACTGAGTTTTTCACGGCAAAAAGTGGAATTCATTTTGATTTTTGCTTTTTTTGAGACTTAAGAATAAAAAAAAAATCAGAATTCTATATGATATTTTTGTTTAATTAATTTTAAAAAGTTTTTCGTGACAATATGATATTTTGTCATTATGTTGATGTTAACTTAGTTGCAACAAGTTGGAAACATTGTTTAAAAACGAATGTTATCTCCCATTCCTGCTAAAATAATGAGCTATATAAATAATGAAATATTACTATTGTAAGTATCTTAAGTAAACATTTAATTTCTAGATTTTATATATTTTTTCTAAGCGTAAGGAGGGTTATTGTAGACTTAGTATTTTGTGTCCTTTATTTAATGAAATGCAAAATGTCCCTTGTAGAAATTTTGAATAAATGTTCTTTGAAAATTTTTAATTCTTAAATTATACCAATCAGTTTTAGTTTGTAGTAAATGTTTTTAACCTTTCTACATGTTTAGATAGTCATTTTTTTCTAAGTTAAATAATAGTATGAATAGACAAAATTATTCTTAAGATAATCCAAATATCATAGTTGCATGAAATGTGGTGTATAGTAATTTGTTGAGATACGTAGATCCTAATCCTACCTATTAAGACTCTTACAGGAAAGATTTCGTTCTTCATTAAAAAGAAGACATCTTTAAACACGATAAAAAAAAGTCTAATTAAATCTTAATTTATCGAGACATTTGTCTAGCAAGCTCTGTTATCCATTGAAATCTAGTTCTGTTATTTATCTATACTTTTATCTATCAGTTATCTATAAATGCCAGATACAATAATTTCGAAACGTAAGGGTTCATGAAAAGGAAGCTAATCACAAAATCTGAAGAAAAAAAACGTGATTAGAGTTAAACTTAAATGTTATCAGCTAGCCAAAATCTACTTGCGGGAACTTTTTTTAAAAATTTTTATAGATTAAAATGCATTTTATAGATTCTAGTATATATTACAAACCTTAACCAGCAAATTTTTGAAGGTTTGAAATATTTTTAACTTTACCACATATTTGTAGTAAAATTTGACTAGGAGAAACACCATAAAACTCCGGCGTTTTTATAAATATTGAAAAAATACTGCAAACCTTGAATTAGTTATTGGTAACTAAGTTAATAAAAACTAATCCGTCAATTTCTACTCCCTCGTCTCCTATTCTGACTTACGAGAATTAATATGAAAATCAATTTTCTATTCATTAAGCCACTAATTAATATTTTGGGCACATTTTTATTTCAGCTTATTCATTAAAATATAATTTATAAATATTAGCAACCAAATTTCATTTTTCATGGTTTTAAGTTTTTTTTTTTCGTTGCAAATTTTACTAAAAATTCTAGTGATTTCGAAAGAAATTAAAAAATACTGAAAGCTTTAAAAATTATATTTTGATAACAAGTTTCAACAATTAAATTTAATTAATAAAATTAAATAAAAATTTTCTTTTATCTATTTTGCTAAATAATTTAATAAATAGGATATTTGTGTCCATATCAAAGATAATCCAACTCCTATATTATCATGGGTAAATATAGGAGTTGGAGGAAATAGAATTTGACTCTGCCAGGACTGCTTTAATCAACTAGGAAATTTTTGCCTGTTACGTAGCCTCCCAATGTCATATATGCTAGTTCAACGGATCGCTCTAACGACAGAACAAACTCAGTTTTCTATAGAGTTAGCGTGAAAACAGCCAAATTTTAGCGAAGCGTGCGGAAAATTGATTTCACATCAAAAGCAGGAAAATACTCATTGCAATTGTGCAATAGCTTTAAACATTGTTTAAATAGTGATGCAGATGCGGCACCGGTGATCTTTTTATATATTTTTTCTGATGCTCTAATAGCAAGCAAAATTTAATATTTTTTAATTATAAATAACAGTCTAATAGTTACTAAAAAAATCTGTTAGATTATCTTTAAACTATATTTGCTATTAACTACATTTGTATTGAAATATAAAATCTAAAAAAAAAAGTTTTTTGAATTTTCTTTTCATTCGTATTCAATAATTTATCAATAATTGATTTAGTAAATTAACGAAATTCGATGATGAATAAATGTTTCTCTTAAATCTAAATAATTCCAAATAAGTACAAATTTGAACAATTATTGTTTGGAAGCGAGACGTATGTGGAAGATTTTGACCCTGATTGCAGAAAAAAGCTCCAGCGTTTCATGCTGTATTTCATAACCATGAATTATTAAAATGCTAAATATAATATTTATCACATATTTTGACCAGAATTAATACAAAATAATATAAAGCATGAAAAATATATGTAATAAAAATTTGGAGTAAAAGCATTAAGTGGGTGAACTATTTTATTTATCCTGAACTAGCTGTGATTTATGTTAAATTTATTGAAAAGTCTTACCTGGGAATCTGGTGTCATGTTTTATCTCGAATAAATTATTTTGAGACTTATTCTTATAGACTTCATTATTACTTTATTTTGATACACTGGTAGATATATTTTCTGAAAGAATAGTTTAATCACAGTAGTGGAGGAAAAATATTGTTATTTAAACTACTTTGTCGATAGAATTAATTTACATCGCAATTTCATTAATTGAGTATCAACTGGGTAAAAATGCAGAAGAAACGTGAGAAATTTGTGAAGCAGCATACAATAGGTTCTGAGATAACAGAGTTTAAGAAATTCCAAAGCAGCTATGAAAGAAAAATTGAATCATATCAAGAACAATAATTGCCAGACGATATATTTGCACGACAACCAAAAAAGCAAAAGAACTCAATTCAACTTATCAAACTATTTTAAAGCAGAAATTAAAATGAAAAATACGTAAAATGTTGTTGTAAATCAAATATTTAATTCTCAGTTTTCATAGTCATTTATTGCAAAATAGAATTTCTTGTTTTTCGTTCATAAATTTTAAAACTACTTGATATTATGCTGAAAAATATTAATATTTTATTCGCAATTTAATATAGATAACCTTTGAGGAAGCACCAGAGTGTGTTAAAGATGTAGCTTCAAATTTCGTGAAAGACATTGTTGGAAAAGCTGTTGCTCAAGCAGAAGAGGTAAAGTTCAAATGTTCATATGGAATATTATTTTAGGTTATACGACTATGTTTTTTTTTAAATATGTCAAATTATGACAGCAAAATAATTGTTGATTTAGGGATAAAATAAACTTTCAAAAGTTTTAGAAATTCTTCTATAGAAAAACTTATAAAACTAATTCAGTTGTTACATTAACGTAGAAAAACCAATGGTTCTGGTGTTCAGTAATCACAGCTCTTAATATTAAGTTTAAGAATCCTTTGCAGAAGTATAATCATTAAAAATATGCACAGCAAAGAAACGCTAAAACCTTTTATCGAAATCTGCTGAATTATTAGTGAGAAAGGCTGAATAGAAATGATAAAAACCTGTTTAATTATGGGAGTAGAAGGACGATTATCAGAAAGACCTCCAAAATCCATTAGGCAAATAAGCTAATTTAATGATTTGAATACAAAAATTCATTAGCTTGAACTAAATATAGATTGGAAATTTCAGTTGACGTGTTTCAAGTTCTTAAAAATAAGTGCCTATTTTGAAGAATTGCCTGATGTTTGGCAAGAAATATCTAACTACTTCCGTTTCTTTAAAGCTAGTTTACTGATTTTCCTCTCGCCTTCCTCACTAGTGATGATTCGATGCAATTTGATAGCGTTTTTATTTCTTTCTCCCTTAAATAATAATTTGAGGTTCCTAATGAGCATTATTTTTTTATTTCATTTTTTAAAAAAGAATTTTAAGACACATATTAAAGGTAGTGATTTTGCATGCAAAAATAGATACTTTCTAGCAAAAAGTATTCATATTTTTTTTTTGTATTACATTCTGATTGCGGAAAAATGCATATTTTTTAAAATATACTTTAAATGCGCTTTTGAACTCTCTCCAATTTACTAAAGATATCTTTGTTACAATTTTATTCTATGCAATTCTATGAAATAATTTTTTTTTATTAATCGTGAAATAAATTTAAATCCAACGAGTGCGCATTTACACAGAGTAAACATTAATTGGGTGCTTTTTAATGACAAAGTCCTTTTCCTACTACAAACAATAACACTATAAACAGAACATATTTAAAAATGTTTGAAGTAAAATCTTCATACATGCCCTTTTAAAATAAAGGTTTTCATATTTAGAATTGGATGTTAGTTATACAATTGCACAAACATTTACTATTTANACAGAGTTTAAAAAATTCCAAAGCAGCTATGAAAGAAGAATTGAATCAGATCAACGACAATAATTGTCAGACGATATATTTTCATGACAACCAAAAGAGCAAAAGAACTCAATTTAACTTATCAAACTATTTTAAAGCAGAAATTAAAATGAAAAATTCGTAAAATGTTATTGTAAACCAAATATATTAATTCTTAGTTTTCATAGTCATTTATTGCAAAGTAGAATTTTTTGTTTTTCGTTCATAAATTTCAAAACTACTTGATATTATGCTGAAAAATATTAATATTTTATTCGCAATTTAATATAGATTACCTTTGAGGAAGCACCAGAGTGTGTTAAAGATGTAGCTTCAAATTTCGTGAAAGACATTGTTGGAAAAGCTGTTGCTCAAGCAGAAGAGGTAAAGTTTAAATGCTCATATGAAATATTATTTTAGGTTATACGACTATGTTTTTTTAAAAATATCTCATATTGTAATGCATATACTTTAAACATGCTAAGATGTTGTAATTAGACTGCAAAATTATTAGTTATTTAAGGATAAAATAAACTTTCAAAAGCTTTAGAAAACCTTCGATGGAAAAACTTATGAAACTCATTCAGTTGTAACATTTACGTAGAAAAACCAATAATTTTGGTGTTCAGTATCCACAACTCTTACTATTTATTTTCAGAATCCTTTACATTAAAATAAAATCATTAAAAATATGCACATTACGTAAAGCAAATTAATATTTATGCGAAGAAACGCTAAAAACTGTTATCAAAATCTGACGAATTATTAGTGAGAAAGGCGAAATGAAAATCATAAAAACCTGTTTAATTATCGGAATAGAAGGACGATTATTGTAAGCACGACCAAGTTCCACTAGGCGAATGAGCTACTTTAATTATTTGATTAAAAAAATTCATTTGCAACAAATATAAAAACTGGAAAATTCAGTCGACGTGTTTCAAGCTCTCAAAAATAAGCGCCCATTTTCAAGAATAGCAAGATGTTTGGCAAGTAATAACTTACCACTTCAGTTTCTTGGGTTTATCTATTTAAGCTAATTTGATGATTTTCCTCTCGCCTTACTCACTAGTGACGATTTGGTGTAATTTGATAGCGTTTTTATTTCTATCTCCCTTAATTAATTATTTGCGGTTCCTAACGAGCATTATTTTTTTATTTCATTTTTAAAAAGAATTTTAAGAAATATATTAAAGGTAGAGATTTTGCATGCAAAGATAGATACTTTCTAACAAAAAGTAATCATTTTTTTTCCATTACATTCTAAATTGCGGGAAAAGTATAGATTTTGTAAAATAAACTTTAATTGCGTTTTTGAACTCTCTCCAATTTATAAATATATCTTTGCTATAATTTTATTCTATGCAATTCTTCGAAATAATAATTTTTTTATTAATCATCAAATAAATTCAAATCCAACGAGTGCGTTTTTACACAGTGTAAACATTAATCGGGTACTTTTTAATGACAAAGTCGTTTTCCTACTACAAACAATAGCACTATAAACTGAACTTATTTAAAAGTGTTTAAAGTAAAATCTTCATACATGCCCTTCTAAAATAAAGTTTTTCATATTGTAAATTAGATGTTTTGAAAATTCCATAAATATACAATAGTATAAGCATCCACAATTTATGATACGCACCATTAACAATTATTTAATAACTCTTTTTTAAAATTACATTAAAGTTTAGAAATAGCACAGAATGACAGAAAATTATTGTTTTGTGTTGGCAATAAAATGATGCTCTTGACTTTTGAGTGATTTAGTTGATTACTTATTGTTCGAATTTCTTAATGAAAACACGTTGTTAAATGTTTGATTGATATTATGACAATTAGTCAGGTCATAATTTTGTAAGTCTTGGTTTTATTATTGAATATCCTACTTATTTGCGTTCATTAATATTGTCCATTTTTTTTCATTGCAGAAGTCTGCTCCAACTACTGCACCCTTTACATTTGGTAAGTTTTGTATCCAGTTAACACTCATTCATTTTAGATTTAATTTTGTGCTTAGGTAGTTCAAACTTTTGTTCTTTATTTTTTTTAATCCATTCTTTGCAAAAATGTGATATTCTAAATGATTTTATTTTACATAATTGGTGTTTTGTTTATATATTAAAAAATTCTAATATTTTCTTTATGTATAATACTGTCTCTCACGCCAAATAATTCAAAATTTTATTCTTATTCATTCTTTATAAATAGAAGAGAGAGATTTAGCTTCATAAATTAATTTGAATATAGCAAAACAAACATGCAAAATATATAAAATATACATAATGTCTAATTTTACTGAAAGTAATAATCAAATTTGAAATGCTAACTTAAAAAAAAATGTCGATAACAGTTTTCTATAAGTAGTTTATCTAGTTAAATTTAGATATATATTTAAGATTTTCCTCTTTGTCAGCTTACTTTGTGTAAATAATTATGGGTCTTACCCCCCCCCCAAAAAAAAAGCATCATAGTGATCTTTCTGTATTTTTGATTTCTTCTCTTTATGTTTTTGTGTCACCCCTAGTTTGTAGTATCATTTGATTCATTACTTTCACTTTCATTATTCACTTGAATGTGGTGCAGAACATCCCCATTAAACTTAACAGGAATTTAATATTATAAAAATTTAACATTATTAAAATTTATGTTCAGTTCAATTCTAAAAACAAAAATTACCTGTGTGAACTACTTAGTTTATTACATAAAATATGCCTTTAATAATGCATTTTCATGTGGAATATATGAACAATATTCCAATTTCCTCTTCACAAATCGAGCACAGCCTATAACCGTATTAAAGCCTTCTTAATATCGCATTCCGTTGATAAAAAAAAATATTTGCAGTTATGAATAACCCTTGACATTTACGAACTTCAAGGCAAATCTTGGATGGTTCGTATTCTTTAATCAGATTGATTGACTAAATATAAGGGGAAAGCACGAAATATTTTATTATTTTACTTCCAAATAAAAGAAAACTTCTTATACCCATTGTTGAAAAAATAAACTAAAAAAAATACAAAACTTTTTGTAAGAATTTATATTATGAATGAAAGGAAGCTGCTCATATTTATTGATTTTATAACTGCTCTAATCAGGGGCTATCCCGATTTCTTGTGAAATTGTGGAAAATTACAAAAGTCAGTGAGCTGTTCAGACTTTTTGTTAAAGGCACTGCCTTTGTGAATTTGTGAGAACTATATTCGAAATTTTATGAATATAAGAACACCTTACATTCGGATCCTTCTTTGCCGGATCCTGTTTATGTAAATATGTTGAAAAAAGGTCTTGTATTTGTAAAAAAAAAATGTCTTTCTGGATATTGTAGTTTTAAAATTAGAATTTAAGGACATCATCGAATCTGTTTTTCAAAAGAATTTTATGAAGATTCTATTTTTTAAATGGAAAATATTGTGAAAAGCATTTTTTTAAAGGTCAAATATTTTGTGAAGGGTCCATTTTAGCGATATATATTTTTGTGAAGTGTTCATCAGAAATGATCCCAAAATTCCCCGAAATGACTCTTTTTAATAATCAAAGAAATGCATTCTTGCACTGTGTCTATTCAAAATTTTGTGCACCTCCCTTCTTATTGTTAAAGTATCGATTTGATTTTTATTGAAATCTCTGTGTTCGCACATTTCTAAGCGATAGTATCGTTTAAAATTATAACATTTATTTTAACAGCTGTCAGTGCAATACATAAATTTGCAAGTAAGTTAAAATTTTCAGAATTTTATTTTGTAACAATTCAAAACAACAAGGTATTTTATAATTGATTTATAATCTTATATTTGTAACTTATCTATGATATGTTCATCAAAACATTGCAAAAAATTAACTTTGCTGAATGCATTTGATAATATATATATTTTTGACTTGATTTTATGCACTTTTTTATTTATTCAGATAAAAAAAAATACTTAAAAAAATTTTTTTGCAAATTTCAATCGACTACTTTAAAACATTTTAAAAAATTCAATGATTTTTAATATTGAAAAAAAGTGAAACATTTTTTTTTCTTAAATATTTATATTGATTAATGCTGTAAAAAATTCATTTCGTTAAAAATGTGTTTACAAGTCGGTTTTGTAAGCTTTGTATTGTTTTCAGAATATTATTTTTGAATCTATATTTTTGTTTTGCCAGAATATTCAAAACAAATTTAAATTTGAGAACTAGAATATATAATGTTGATTCGAGCTGTTGTTTAATTTAAAAACTAATAACGCGTAATTCCTTAGGAAATAATTACCAATAGCCGGAAATATTTAAAAAAGAATACATCTTATACAATAAAAAAAATTATTATGACAACATTATTTCATTTATTATATCAAATGATTTGTAATGATTTTAAGGTAACTGAAATAAATCAATACTTTTTTAAAAAAATTACTATTGCATTACTTATTTTTAAATTTTTGAATATATATCCGATCAGTATTATGGATCTTACAAAAGAATTCTTCAAAATGATTTAAAAAATTGCATACCTTTCAAATTAAAATTTGTGGATTATTATTTAATAAAAAAATAATAAATATTTACTAAACGTTATTTTTTGAGTGGAATTATCTTTGGATAAACAAATGTTATAATTTTGTGCAAACATTTTTTAATTCACTTAAAAAGTTCTTGAATAACTGCAAAATATGCAAAAAGTAAAATTAACATTAAGGGCTCCAAACTTCAGACCGTTCTTCTGATTGAACTATCGGGACCATATTTCCCAGATTGCGGTTACCTCCTATATTTTGGGGGTCAGAAATCCGAATCCGTCGAAAAGAAGGTATGTTTATTCGGTGAAAGTACGTTTTTATGTCTGATTTCGTAACTTACAATAACGTCAGCGAAAACTAATTAGTATATGATCTAAAACAATAAAATTGAGTCCTAATGAGTGAATATCTGATCATTAGATCAAAAGTTATTCAGGTTGGTCCGTTTATTTATTTATCCTTCTTTTGCTCTCCGCACATGGCAGGCATTGCGGGAACTTGATTTGTATATTCACTATTCATACTAATGCTGCTTGCATGGCGAATCTATTGATTATTGTATACTTGTAGAAATCATAATGCAGAATTTCTTTAAATACATATGTATATAGCGTATTATCTGCAAGTACCTTAAACCCATAAAATAAGTTAATACAAAGAAAAGAAGAAAAAAATGCAATTTTAAGGAGAGAGAAAAAAATTATTAATAAATAAAATGTCTTTAAAAATATTTTTAAAAATTTAAAAAAATTAAAAAAGACAAAAAACAAAATAACGTAAAGATATGATCTCATTGTCAGCTCACACGATTATAAACGCAAAAAAAGAGTGCTTTCTAACATTGTATTAATATAGCCAAAGTATATCCAAACATAAATTCAAATCTTAATTGAAATAAATAAAACAGGAGGTAACCAAAATAAACATAACTACATTAATTCAAATTCAAATTGGAACAGCGCACAAGGCAGCTAAAACCAAATTCAAATCTTATAAACAAGTAATAATATAAATTTACAGAGCAGCACTTCATTAGGGGACACACTGTGTTTACAGACAGTGTGTCCCCTGATGAAGTGCTGCTCTGTAAACACACAACTTTATTTAATTTTCTTTTAATTATATTTATATATTTTTTTGAGTAAATTTATATTATTACTTGTGTATAGCCAAAGTAAAATATATCAATACAATAGTGTGAGAAGCACTAAAAAATTGAAAAAATGGAAAATGAAAATTCAAGAAAAATGCACAATAAAACACTAAATGTAACAAATGACGCGAGAAGAAAATTCAAATGTCATTTTACTTGCGGATAGTGGAAAAATATTTGAGGTCGCTACTTGCTTCAAAAATATAAAGTAGTAATTGAGGATAAAAGTTCTTATGTGTGTGTGTGTGTGATTTTCCTTGAGTTTGTGATTTCGTAACTCGTTAAGTAAAAGTTGCAAACTTTTTATTGATTAACCCATTTCCGCCATGAAAATTATCTAGGACCATTAAATTCTAATTACTAATTAATCATTCCTAAATTTTAAATATTATCTTTTGCTGTGGCGTTTGACTTTTATGAGTTTCTAATTAGAGATTAGAAATTATATTAATTAATTAATTTTGAAAAGAAATTTATTGAAGCATTAAATGAAGAAAAAAAAGTGGAATCACATGATTTATTTCTCATATAATATTTTTCACATTCTGCATTTATCAAAGATATTATTAACATATGGAATATTATCTTACTATTAATTGATTATTTCATAATTCAATTTAATTTGTAGAGTTATAAAACGTAGCTCATACCTTCTTTCGGACATCGATAAAATTATACTGTCTAAAGCATTCATTACTTTAATGGAAAAGGTTCGCATAAAATATTTTTAGAAACTTGCAATTTACTTTATATATTGAGTTAGCTACTTCCAATTAAGTACTGAAATAAATCTAAAAGTAAAGTAATTTTTCCTCAGTCTTTACGCCTAATTTTTTTATCAGAACTTGGCTACGCCGTGCTAATAGATTGATTACATTAAAAATTAAAAGAAAGACTTTTCTCTTTATTAAATTGAACTTTAATGATTATATTTAGCGTTTCTGCTATCAAGGGTAATTTCAAAATATGGGACGCTTTTATTGCTGTTATAAGACGCTGTAATTCGCGTACAGAAGATGCTATGCTTTATTAAAAATATTCAGAAAGTTTTTCCTAGGGTAATGATTTTGTTTAATTTTTTTTTGTTTAATAACCGTTGTTGAACGGCCAACCCAATTTTGGGTTTACGATCATTAATGTTTAACTAACTCTATAGCCTTGCGATTTTATACCCAATCCAGAAGACAAGGGAACTGTTGGATAAAGAATTAGGAGAAATTTTTCCTTCGTGGAGGACTTTTTGTAGAAATTCACCCGCATTTGCGTTACACGGAAAGGAAAACTGTGAAAACCTCCCATGGTTTACCCGAAGACAAGGGGACTCCATGATCCGTCTACCACTGAGGACATTTTACCGTCAGCACTGTGGTCGGTACGAACCGTGTGCGGAGTTTGTATCGACTAGCCATCGCTAAGATTCGAACCTGCTTCACCTTACTGGGAGGCGAACGCTCTAACCCCTGCGGCACTACGACTCTGGTTAATGAATTTATCGAAAATTAAAATTAATTCTGTATTACTATCTAGATAGGCTTTAAAATATGTGACGATGTTTTTTTCTGGTTTGTTACTTTTAGCACACCCCTAAATTAGTGTATTTAGAAATATAATTTTAGATACTTTAAAAAAAAACATAAATTTGGTCCATGCCAGTGTCAAATGTGATGATAAGGTTGTTTGAATAACGAAAAATTTGAATTCATATTGAAAGTAAACAAATTACTGACGCAAAATTTACAACATATGATTTGGATGTTCTTGTGACTTACATAATGAAAATCTTCCTTCAGGCAGAACAGTGATTCAATTTCTTCTGTGTTAATCTATGGAGAATTATAGGGACACTATTTTCTTATTTATTGAGCAATTACTTAATAATTTTCGAACATTAGTCAATGTCTTTTTTAAAATAAAATTCGAAGTAAATAAAAAATTTGGGCAGTAAAACTGTTGCCGTTTCACACAGATATGTTTGCGCACAGATTAAAATTTTCGTGGGAAGGAAGAGCTAGGATCAGAAAATGACGTCTTTAAATAAGGATCGTCGTTAAATAGGGACTTAATTATTAAATCTCAGTAAAAAGTTACAATTGGGCATTTCCTTAGGCATTTAGTAAAAGTCAATAGTTAGTTTTTACTTATTGATAGTTTTTAACATTCACATGTCAATTCATAAATAATTAGAAAACTAATGATTTTAAACTTTCAAATCATTAGACATTTTCTTACTTTAACAAATTGTCCTCTTTTATAAGCATCATAATCATAGTTGATTACTATGAATGGTAAACAATTGTAATGCATTATAACTTTTAAAAAATAACAAAATACGATTAAAAAAAGATAATTAGCTATCTTGCTCTCTCTCTACCTTGCTGAGAAAAAGATTTCCCCCGCGGCTACAATAACTACTTTAACCGTGATTCTATAATGAAGTAATTTTTTCTATTTACATGATTATTGTCTTCGTAGTCCTGCTTTTTGTTTGAGTATCAATTATAAGACTTCTGTATGTCTAATAAAACTTAAGTTTATCCGTCTCGTTTTTTTATACTGATTCTTTTTACTTGAAATTAAAATGCAGTATCATGAAATTATATTTATAAATTAGATTAATTATGAAGCAAATGATAATGAAACTGGTTAAATATTTACGGTTGAAATACATTATTTTAACAAACTATGCTTTATTTTAATACTTTATTTTAACAATTTGAATACTTTATTTTAACAACCATGCTTAAAAATTACATAGCAAATCTATAAAGTGTTCCATAAAAACTGCTCGTAATATGTATCTTTGAAATTTTATGAAAGAGATGGACGAAAAAGCATACAGATTGGGGAGTCGGAAATTAGGTACATTCACTTCAAGAAAAAGAAGACCATTGATACCCAGACACGTGACTTCTCGGATGCTTTGCGCATGTTAACTGATAAAAGTGTAAATCAGTTCAGATCAGTTTGTGATATTATAAAATTCCCTACTTGTAGGGGAGATGATTCGTTTACAATCATAGGAAGTAGGGAATTTTATGATGTCACAAACTGATTTAGGAGAAATTCTGTTTACATTTGAGCTCATCGAGCATGCGCAATAGCATCAATACCCACACTACGTCACTTAGAGGTATCCCATTAGTACTTAAACGGGGAAAATGTTCAAGGCATCTGACGAAACACAGTTTATTGAACATCAGAACGAGTTCTTATAGAACATCAATACCTATTTGATTGAAAGTTCAAACTTTCTTATAACCATATTTCAAAACCGTATTGGCTCAGGAGATAGAATGCCGAATAAGGTGATCCGGGTTCGAAACCCAGCGTTGGCTGATCGATACGAATTCCGCACCCGGATCACACCAACCACAGCGCTGACGTAAAATGTCTTTACATGGACAATGGACTAGAGTCTCCTTACTGTCAGACTAACCGCAGGAGGTTTTCGTGGTTTTCCTCTCCATATAACACTAATGAGGATTAGTTCCTCCAAAAATTCCTCTACAAAGGAAAAATTTCTCCTATTACTTGATACAGGAGTTCTCATTGTCTTCTGGATTAGGCTCAAAATTATAATGCTTGACATTGATAGACGCAAACTTTAAATTGTGCCGGCTATTCAACGATGGTTAAAAAATATAATATCACCATATTTTATACTCATCTATTAATAGTGATTCGTTAGACTTCGATATCGTTTTTTTTCCAGCTTAAATACTAATTGCGACCCTGAATATGCATACTTTTTGCCTTCATTTCTCATATTGAGTCTGATATATATATATATATATATATATATATATACACTCATGGACAAAAAAATTAGCGCACCAAGGAGGAATCGTCAAAGTGAAACGAAATTTTAAACACGTAATGACTACTTTGATATAGGTAAATGATTAGAAAATCAAAGAAAAACGATAATCTTGCTATTGAAGTCGATTTAAACATATACGATTTATATCATGTAACTTAATAAATATCTCTCTGTTGAATTCTCTATAAGAATTTTGAGAGAATATTAGCGAATACAGTATTTTCTTTTTACTAAAAATTACGGTTTTATTGTCCCAGTAAATACCCAGAACTTCAAAAGAAGCTTCCTATAAAAAAAAGCTTTTTTTTTTTTAAGATAATGTCATGTTTCGCTGTTTTTCTCCTAAAAAAAGTCCTATTTTTTCTTTATTTTGAACAAATATATAGTTGCAACTCTTAAACTTCTTTCTTTCTTTTTCTTCGATTGTTTATTTGTCTGTAAAAGTATTATTGTAAACTTTAAATTAAAAAATTTCTTATTTTTATTTTTGAAATTTTTTTAAGAATATAATTTTTTGCTTTAAAAAGCATTATAAATAATTCAATAAACTCATCATTGAAAAGTTAAAAAATTCGTATCTAAGTAAACACACAGAATTTTACTTTAACATAATCAGATATTATAATTATTAATAAAATTAGAAGTTGTTATATTTTTAGCTATTGCTGTCCGTATCAAGCAATTTACTTATGGTACGTTCTAGTCAGCTCAATTAAATATCTGTTGATTTTGTAGAAGTTAATACATTGTCTTATGGTCTGCTATAAGCATAGAATTACTTTATTTTGACACGTCCCTAAAAAAGGCCTATTGCAATTTAAGGCGAGAATTTAAATTGTGTTGAGAATTGTGCTCAACAAACCTATAGCTAATTCTCTTAATTCACTGAAATATAATAAAAAGTTTTTGTATATCTAGTAACTGTACACTCTATAGTTAAATTTTAAATTTTTTTTTCTCCCTAGAGTATTATTGACACTAATAAAATGTTCCTTTACTGAATGAATAAGGGAATTAAAAAATAAAACGTCATAAGACGTCAGACTTTTTATTCATCAAGAAATTGAAAGTTAGGAATTCTAAAACATAATTGGTAATTTGAGTGTTATTTTTTTTGGTCTAACTTTATTTAAGTAAGTTAAAAAGGAGGGGAAAACAAGAAAGAAAGAAAGAAATCAAGAAAACTGTAGCTTTGGAATTCAAATAAATAATAAAATATAGTTTTCAAAAATGAAAGAATTAAAAAAAACTCATTTACTCCTTATTATCTCCTTTAATATTTATTAGAATTGAAGTATCACTATTTTTATCATTAACTCTACCCATCACCAATATAATTTTTTCTAAGTTAGTTCGTATCAATTATCTAAAATCATTTTTAATTGTGCCTTTTCTTAAACTTACAATTAGCTATAAAATATACTTTTCAAGATAAGTTCTGGCTCTTCCAAAATTGCGGATACATATTTCAACTCAAATTTAAAGAATAAATAGGTGTAAAAAGAATTTTTTTCCTCGAATGATTTTTAGTCTGTTAATGTTTTGTTTCATTTTCAAACAAAATTATGTTTTTATTCAATTTTTAATCAGCATTTTAACTGGAATTTGCTTTGGAAACACACTTTTTTACTTAAATTGTTTTAAAGTTGTGTGGAAAAAGTGAATGGAAGAATAACATGAGTTAATAATAACATGAACATAAAGTAAAGGACGTTTAAAAGTGATTCCAAGCGGTTGGTTACATTTCTGTTCAACTTTAATGAATTCTGTTTGCTAAAAAGTACACATTTTTGAATATAATATTTAACGAATATAAATTAATGAGAGGATAACATCTTATTTGAAGAAAATGCTTAAATGTAACATTTTACGAATATAAATTAATGAGAAGATAACATCTTATTTGAAGAAAATGCTTAAATGTAACATTTAACGAATATAAATTAATGAGAAGATAACATCTTATTTCAAGAAAATGCTTAAATGACTATAAAATAAAAGAGCCTTTTTCTTTAAGCCTAACACAGTAGCTTTGTTACCCCCATCTTACTTAAATTGCTATGAAATATTATTTTTAATAAAAGAAGATTAGCTGTTGATCTGAACGAAATCTTGATTAATGTAAAAAACTATGTAGAAAAATTTATATTGAATGTATTTGAAGTTGCAATTCTATGTAGTATAAGTGTATATAAAACATGCATTATATTTTAATTATTTTATAAACTCTATTACAGAAGACGTAGACCTCATGAAAACGAATGGACCTTGGTACATCCGTGTACGAGAGGCTTTTGTTCGAGTCCTGAGAACGGCATGTTTCTGCACACCACGTCGGAATGATTCCTGAATTTTGTTTTAAAAAATCACAGAATATTCTCAATGATTTCTAAATGTGTTCGCCCGTGATACCTTCGAGCCAATATTCGCAACAAAGTAAATTTAAAAAAAAAATGTGGCTCTTAAATTCATTTAGTGTTTCCTGAAACTCCATGGTCCATTGAATGCATTGGTGTCTCTTTTCTGTAGTTCAGTGTTCATCATGGAATAAAACGTCGGAGCAAAAAATGGTGATGTTGTTCAAGTTTGTTGTCGTGTGTGTGTGTTAATCGTGCCCTCTCAGTTTATCTAACTGAACCGTTCAAAAATAGTGGAGGAATATCTCTCTAAAAGAGGAAGATCAGCTTGATTAGAACCAAAGATGATAATCAATTTTTGTAATGGTGACCAATGATGCGAAGATCTTCGCAAGTTAGTTGTTGAAATTTGCATCTTGACCCTATTGAAATAAAAATGACATAGAAACTATTTTTCCTAACTCATTGAATACTTCTACTATGCAAATTTGAAATTGTACAGCAACCATAATTATTATAATAGCTGAAGAGTTTTTATAAACCAGATTAGGGATTATACATCAAATTATTTATCAGTTTTATTTTTGAGAAGAAAGCAGATTTAAATGAATCTTGTAAAAAATAATAATGCTTTGCTTAGTTAAAAAAGTATTTTTTGTTAAATTGAAGGCTTTAAAAGACATTGTATGCATTAAGTTTAGAAGTAGATTACATTAAGGCTTCAAATTCCTAGCTAGTATCATTCCTATTTTTTTAAAATTATATTAAAGTGAAAATTATTTGCTTTGTTGCTTAACTAAAAGTTTTGTAAAATTTATGCTATAGTTTTGCCTTTGTTAGATCAGATATAAAGTTATTTGTAAAATCTAATTGGAAGTATTACCATTAATGTATTTAATTAATTTAATTTTAAATTTTCGATATTTTGATTAAAACAAAAATGATGAGTAATTCTTAAGGAAGGTGATGTATTTTAAAACTTTTCTTACAATTATACTATTACTTTTCAAAAACCAGATATTCTAAAGACATAAAACTGTTGGCATTATTAACTAATAGATTAAGATATTTTTAAAAATGAAATACTATTTTAAAGAAATTCTTAAGCTCTTAAGAATAAGTTTTTCAATCAGGAATAAAATAAATAAGTGCAGTTAAAAGTTTAATTACTTAGGTTCTATAATAATTCTCTAAATACATTGTATGTTACTTTTTGTGCAAGCCAATATATTGTTTTAAATGATTATAATTTTTCATAGATACATAGCTTGTAATTTGTTTTATTAGTTTATATAATAACAGTGTTGAAGCATTTCTCTACGATTGCTCAAAACTAAATAAACAGAGTATAAATTTTCTTTCGAACAAGTTTCTAAAAAAAATACGCAATGTTACGTATAATGTGAAAAAGAATAATGTGATAAATTCATTCTTCGAAAACGGCAAAGTTAGGTGGAAATAAAAATCTGTTATTTATTTTTCCTAGATTACTAACTTTGAAAAAATTATCATATCTTTATTACAACAATTATTGGTTCTCCAATATTTCTAAAACTCTAAAAGGTTTATTGCAAAATTCATTTAATGTTTCCAAACATCGGAAAGATCAAAAATGCTCATTAAAACTTTTTTTCCTAAATAACGCAAATTGCAAAAATTATTTGAATTACTTATTTGTTTCATAATTATAGTTGTAACTGATAGTTGTGGTCTAAAATAGAATATAATTTCAACTATTTTACTAATTACAAAACAGAATGAATATTTAACTCTAGTTATATCTAGTTAATGTTAAAAATATTACATTCGAACGTGCATAAATGCGTATTGTCAATAAAAAAATGCTACTAGGTAGGTGGAAACGTTTTTTTTCCTGCCTGATTTCGAAGATACTGAAAAAAATTAACCAAATCACGTTACTTACGTTGAGTTAAAAGTTTATCATTTGAATTTGAAATTTGTTACATCTTAAATTGCTATATCATTATCCAGGGCCCGCTCTAAGCATTTGCCACCTCACTAAATGCGATAAAATCGTAAATTTGGTGAATAAGATTGTTTTTTGGTGAAAGTATTGGCGAATAATTTTTTCCACCGGAAAGAAAAATATATAAAAAAATTGCTAAGATTTGCATTTGGCGAAGACTTTCGAAAATTAGCGAATACTTTTCATGTTTAATAATTTAAAGACTAATAATTTGAAGTTCTTAGCACGGCCCTGATTACTGAAAATTCTCATCAAATTTGATTTAGGTTTCAGGTTGTTCACGTACTAATTTATTTTTTTACGAAGCTAAATCACAAGCTTTAATCATAGCACTGCTTTCAAATAATCAACACAGGACGCGAAATAGGAAACGGATCCAAAAATTCATATTTTGAAATTTCCATTTATAAAGAACTGTTTGATTGATTCTGCTCAAATTTTGAATTTTGGCATTTAAAGATAGATTGAAAGATATTTTGAATAATTAAAAAAATCATTTGAAATATCTTAGCTTATTATTAAAATAAATAAGACAAAAATAAAAATATTTAAAAAAAACTTATTTGGCATAACATCACATTCAAATGAACGAGTTTCATAAGTTTAAGCAAATTTTTTTTCTCCTCTTAAGTAATTTATTACATTTGGTGAAATACACAAAAAATTTAAATTAACATTAAGAAAACCAAACTTTCGACCACTGTCCTGTCTAAATAATTGTAACCATCTCATCCAGATTGCGACTACCCCTTTCCAGACTTTGTAGGTCAAGAAAACGGATCAATCGGAAAAAAGTATGTTACTCAGAGAATGTTAATTCTTACAAACTATTTCGTAACATAAAATGTAGTCTGTTCTTATTAATTTGCATATTTAAAGTTATCCCATGGAATGCTTAAAATTGAATATAAATACATAATAATCCATTCATTAGTTAAAAAGTTATTAAGATTAAAGATATTTCACTTACAATGCTTTTTTAAACAATCCAGTCTTAAAAATAAATTTTTGAAAATCAATAATTTATTATAATTAAATACATTAATTTTTAAAAGTAACTGAAAGTTTTTTTCTGCTTATTTAAGCGGTATATTAAGATCTGTGAAGTTAAGAAAATCATTCAAACAGAACGCAAATTTCCGGAAGAAAAAAACTTTTTCATGTATCGTAGATTTTGACACTAATAATTGAGCAGTACACTGTCAAATTATGATAAAAAGCATTGGCACTCAGGGTGCTAGTAATTTTTTTACCGTGAAATCCTTCTTTACTGTAAAATTTCATGACAGAAAAAATCTGACATATTGTAATCTTTACTGAAAAATCACTATGATTAAATAAATTTTACTGTAAAAATTACGATATAAAATTTTACTGTAATTTACAGGATAAAATTTTACTGGATATTTTAGAAAAATGGATTTTACGAATGCTGCACTCAAGGTGCCAGTACTTTTTACTGTAACTTGATCTGTAATATTTTTTACAGTGTAGTATTTTCTGCATACTTTTTTTCTGTTGTAATTTTGTAAATTTGTGTATGATGACAAGCAAAAATTTAAATATTTTCATGTTCAAGTCGATTAACAATTTTGCTTCTTTAAGACATTTTTTAAAACGAAACTTAATAATTATTAATTTAACAAATAATTAATAATTTATCAAATATTTGATTTTTAAAAAAAAATGAATTCATTATTATTTTTTTATTTTATAGCATAATTATTAAATTTTATTATATTACATAATTATTAATTATTCTTTTTAAGGTTTAAAACTTTTGATTTTTAAAATAACTGGACTTCAAAACATAAATATTGTTAAAATAAGCAATTAAAATAAGTAAACTATGCAATTTGATTTCGCAATTATTTTTGTACTATTTTTGAAAATATTTTGAACACGTTTATTTACCAAAAAGTGCAATGAACGTGAGATGTATCCTTTTCGCTTAATATATTTTCGGAAGGGTCAGCAATTATTATTTTTGCATCATTTTAAAATAAAAATTATGTGTAATAAACTTTGTATAATTTCAAAATAACAATTCTGTGTAACAAATTTTGTATAATTTTGAAATGACAGTGATGTTTTGTATTATTTTGAAATGAAATAGATTTCAATTCCGGCAAATTTATTGCAATGGAAAAATTTTATTCTTATTTAATGAACGTCCAAATGTATCTCCTTAGATGTATCCACATGTAATTGTCTATTTGAAGTTGTTAATTGAAATCTGTGGTAGTTTTCAAAATGTATCATTTTAAAACAAGCTAACCATATTTACCACTATTCATGTATATTGTATTATATTTATTATGCATGCTGTAATATAGAAATGTTAAATGAATGACTTTGGGACCATTAAAAATATTGCAATGTATTTATAAAATAATTTTTGAATGAAACATAGCTTTTATATATAATTTATATACATCTTTTTTGATTAACAGTTCGTTTGAAAACCATTTATGCAATATCTAACTGTTATTTTATGATTTTCTTAGCAATTAAATACTCCATAACATTATAGTCAAAGTTGTGAATTTTTGACAGTTGAAAACTACTTTTATAGTTTATATATATTAACCAAATCCTTTAAATAAATTAAAACCTCTTTCCGTTGTTATATTTTTTACTCAACTTCCTTTACAATTATTTTCTTTAGGAATCAAATTGTAAACATTCATTGTAAAATTAACTTCTCACCGATATTTAAAATTTGTTTTAAGTAATACTTAAAGGTTGAGTTTTTAATAAGGTTTAAAACTTTTCATTTTTAAAATAACTAGACTTCAAAATATAAATACTGTTAAAATAAGCAATTAAAATAAGCAAACTATGCAATTTGATTTCGCAATTATTTTCGTATTTTTTTTAAAAAATATTTTGAACACGTTTATCTTTATATTATGTTTACCAAGTTGGTTTAAAATTAATGTAGTATCAAAATAATTTACTGATAACCATAAATCACTGTACTTGTTACAAAAGAAATTTACATTTGCTTGATTATACAGATAATAATTTTATTTCAATCCGTAAAAACGCCCTAAATTTATAATTGGTTTTTGAGTAGCAAAAATTAACTTCTCTAATTTTAAATTGAATGTTATTATATTAATTGAAAAAACTTCTCCAATTTTATATGTACCTTAAGTAAGTTTTGTTGTTATTTTTCAAATAATTTATTGAATTAACTCATTTCTTATTATTCCCAAATAATTGCACAGCTATTGCGAGCTTAAGAAGAAACTTGATAACTTGAACAAATTAATTTAATTTCTTTTCGTAGGCTTATTACGTAAAACATAATATTTAAAAGATATTTAGATGGAAATTTGCGCTATTTCCTTACTATAATAGTTATTTAAAATCATTTTTAAAGATTTATAATTTAAAAAGTTTGTCAATTTTTTCTGCCTATAAAGAAATCAAAATTGAAGTCAAAAATATTTCCTCAAATGAAATAGGTATTTCAAAAAATGTCCCGTAAATTCAATACCAAACGAATTAAAACAGATAATCGAATACTGTGTTGAAAAAACATTGAAAATAGTGTTAATTATAATTATTGTACTTTATACAAAAAGTTTTCATACCAAAAGAAACTTCTGTTCATTTTGTTTTCATTGCTAAAAACATAACAAATTTTGAAAGAGACTTGTTAACAAACCTAACAATTGCTGAGTAATTAAGAGAAAGTTATTTAATGTAGTTGCCATATTTGGAATTACTTTTGAATAAAACAATTTGTTCCCAAATATATTTTAGATGTCAATGTGCCTAAATGTTTATTTAATTTGATGAATATTAAATATTTGCAAAAATAAAAATTTTTTAAATAAAGTTTCACGTGTTTTCAATTTTTTATTATGCATGTTGACATTATTTGCATTATTTACACTATAGAGAAACAACCGAAACAAAGATTATTAAAAAAATTTAATTTCGTAATGTTAGTTTTAATAAATAGATTGAAAAACGTAATATTTATTATAATACGTTTAGAATTATAATATGTTACAGTTAAAATACGTTTTTTAGGAATTGATACGAATCAATTATGATTATAACGAGATACGACAAAATTTATTTCTCATTTAATTGCACCGATTTTTTTTCACGAAACTTATATTTTATCATTGGTAAAATTTATGTATTCGCTTATTAAAAGAAAACTTCCAAAATTTTCAATTTTGTCACTGGGAATGCTTAAATACATTTGAACCACGAGAAAGTTTTATAGATGTGTTAAAATAAAAAATTCAACGCATTTTTGTTTTTAGAGTAGTTTCATATTAAGGATAGACATGAGAAATAAATAAATTAATATTAGCAATGCTCAGCATTGATAAACATGCTCGCAAATTGGAAATAGTTAACATTTTTAACATGAGCAGAGTTCAAATGGCCAGGCGCTCCATAATCACTTATTTTATGCATATTTGTCCGAATACTTACCGAAAGTGTGGTAAAAAAATTACACACACACGTTATATTTTTTTTATCAAATTCTGATGAATCAATATCGAGATGAGTCAATGTGAAAATGGGATTAAAAGCATGTCGAAATAAATCTAAGGAATTGCTCTAATAACTACTTTTTCAGTTTCATCTTAAAATTAAATTAGTTATGGGACATTTATATGCGATTATTTATCCCCAAAATAACTTAACAGATTTTGAAAACATGTTTTTACTTTCAAAACAATATGTTTTAAAGACGATGTTCACGGAACATTCAATAAAATTTATTTTATCAAAAGTTTTCAAACTAAATTTTTTTGAATCTGACAAACAGTGTTTCTTTCACAAATAAATGTAGCAAGATAATTTGGAAAAATATTTCAGTAAATGAAAAAATTATGTATAAAAAAAACTTCTCTTTGAAACATTATTCTTTAAAAGAGTAAACATTATTCTTAACATTATTATAAGATGAAACATTAAACTGCACACCAACACAATATTAATAAGAGAATGATCGAAATATCTTTACATTAATTCTGAAACAATATTTTCATAAATGATCCGACTGAAGGGGTTTTGTTAACTAAGAAATTATTTTCGTTTCAGAGTTATTAATGGAATATTTCATTTAACAAGGTAACAACAAATTATTTTTTTTATAAAAGTTGTTTCTCTTTGTGTATCGTTATTGTACTGCTACAATGCCACAAAAAATTATCTTAGTTTAGATTAGATACATAAAACATATAATCATTTGTTTTGATTGCCACAATGTCAAAACAACTGGATATTTTATAGTTCCATATCCATATTTTAAAAAATCATAAACTGTATAGAAATAATAATGCGACAAAAAAAAATCTTTACAAGTTAGGCCAAACCTCGCTTACAAATAATGCTCATAATTTTCAAATTTCTGCAAAGATCAATTCCGAAGTATTAAAAAATATACTTTTTCATAACATAACATTATATAATGTCACATTTTAAAGAGTAAAACATATTAACATGCTTAGCATATTAAAATGTAAGAAAGAACTTATTAAAAATGACATACATGACAATTCACCCAGTTAATCTACAGTAAATAATAATGAATGATATTAAAAACCTGCCTATTTTATTTCAGACAAATAAATAAACTTTATAAGTATATAAATAGTATTGAAGTAAATTTTCTGATTGTGATTTGTTTGTTTGCCAATCTCTTTTTCATATCGTTTTCTAAACATTCGTTATTGTCGAAATTTTGAATTCACATAAATTTGATGTTAAATATTGTATTTTAAGAACTATTTTAAAATTAATTCTCATTTCGAATTAGCTGTATATCAAAATCTTTCAACTATCTTTTCGAAATAATTCAGTTTAAAAGGGCGTTGAATTGGGAATCCAAAGAATTTTTTTTCTTATTACCTGAATAGTTTTGAATTTTTTATATGTATGAGGAGAAATTTGCAAAAGACTAATTTCTTCTAGACCCATTTCCCCCTTAAATGTCAAGTGTGAGTCTTTAAAAAGCATTTCTTTTCCCTATACAGGTATCAAGTGTAGGTCTTTTAGACCCATTTCCCTTTAAATGGCAAGTGTGCGTCTTTAAACCCCATTCTTTTTCCCTATACTGGTTGTTAATAATATTTCTCAATGCAGATGGCCCACTGAGCAGTAA